ATTAATTAAAGTGCTAGTTATTCAAAGTCATCGTTATCTATGTCATATTACCTTTCAAATAAAATTACATAGTTTTAAGATAACCTAAAAAAATGCCACAATTTAGAAAAATTAATATTTTTAATAAAAGTATCAAGATATACTAGTCGTAGTATACAGTGAGCCGCTACCGGCCCGCAAGCGCCGGCCCGCGGCAGGCTTCCCTAGCCGCACAGCTGTCCCGCTCGCACCCGCACTCTTACACTTACGTCTCTCTCACACCCACTAGCCGACGCGTCCCGTGACAGAGCTCAACTTAAGCCCCCGCTGAGCGAATTTCATTTTTCAACTCGACACAGTATGAAATATTACAAAGATTCTAACTATAGCTACTGGTATTTAGTTTTATTATAACTAACATAAACAATTGTAGAAACTCTTTAACAGAGCTCGCTTTGACATCTTCGCACTGTAGGGCTCGCCCCCAACAATACCACGACCACACAGAAGACAGGCGTGAAGTGGGAGCAATTTCGTGTTTCGTCTAAAGAGTTTGCGTGCTAGAGGCCTAATTTTAATCCTTTTCCCTTCCCGAGGGATTAGACGGTAGAGGAGACGCATAAGAAGAGGAAATATCCTTTTTATATGCATCTCCTCTGACAAGGGTATCGCATCAGCAATTGCAAATGTCTGCAGCGGTCGCTTCGTTCACGGCGAACTCAGGTGGCCGCTTGCTTGTTTCCCATCTTATAATATATTATATGCATTATTTTCTCTACTCTAGATAGTAAATGATGAATTCAACAATAATCTAACGATGCAATACTAAAGGATACTTGAGCGGAATTCGAGATGTCGTTGAGGTTATAATTCAGGCGTCCCGCGTCTTTGAGACGTTGATTATCATAATATTATCATAATAATAGCGGGCCGTGAGACGCGTTGAATAATAAATGCTAATAAGCCGACGTGCACGTCCGCCATTTCGTGCGCGGAACGCAAGTTTTGGCGGGAAATGCATCACGGATGAGATTTGTGTAGAAACGAGCTGTCGCCCGCAAACTTCGTTGAAAAGGACCACACGTTACGCCATTTTGATTACGCGGAACTAAAAAAAATAAATAGCCTATAATATGCCTATCCATGTCAGCTACCCTCCAGTGAAAGTCCCGTTGAAAACGGCCCAGCCGTTTCGAGGTTACACGAAACAAACACGGCATGCGGCAAAACAATTTTTTTAAATGCGATTTTCGTTATCACAGAAAAATACATCACCTTTCCGAAATCTAGAATTCTTCTTTTGATATTACAGAACAGACACTCCAATTTTAATATACTAACTTCCGCCCGCGACTCCGTCCGGGTTATAGTAATAAAAACAAAAGAAAGAAGCCTATGTGTTTTTCCAGACTATGCTCTAAACCTGTGCCAAATTTCATCGAGATCCGTTCAGCCTTTTAGGCTACAAACCCAAACTATCCCCACTTAAACTTTCACATTTATAATATTAGTAAGATAGTAGACAGATAAATAAATTCCTAAACCTAAAATATTCATTCAACAATTGTGGTTACATCGTTGTTTAGTTCCAACAGTTCGGAGTCGAAGTATCTTATCAATTCGAGATCGGTTGGCTAAATGATCGCATGTCATTGCCATCACTTAAGGTGATCAATCTCATCGCCTTAGTATGGAAGTAGAAAAGCGTGTTATATCCCCCCTGTACTACGCCCCTTAGCGCTAACGATCAGACGGGCTCTTAAGCGATCGTGCCAGCAATCAATCCTATACTCTTAAGAAATTTCATTCTTAATTAATAGCCGTTTGAATCTTACTAATATAACTAGCTGTTGCCCGCGACTTCGTTCATGTAATCTATACTACTATACTATACTATTATAATAAAGTGTAAACACACACTTCTTTGTTGCCTAAGATGTCAGCAATTACAGCATATTTTTGAATAATTACTTTTTTAATAAAAAGAACTACACTTACGTCACGCTTTAGGCAATGTATTTTCACGCTTTTAAACTTAGGGAGTAATTTTGTATAAAAACCCTAACATGGGAAAGAGACCATAAGTTGCTGCCAACATTAAGGAAGCAAGGTTGCCATGATTTATCATCATGTCATGTCATTTTAATAATTTGACACATGTAAACAATAAAATTTTCATAATTTTATGCGGATGAAGTCGCACGGGAACAGCTAGTTTGGCATACTTGTAGAGGATAGTCTTGAAGAACATATCGGCCACTTAGTTTTGTTTTTTTTTTCGTGGTTTTATACAAGTGAATGTCTATTCCCAACTCGTCCTAACGTAACAAAAACACCAACAATACAATACAGGAATAGAATTAATTAGTTTGTGGAAATATGAAAAATCTTTTATAAAAGAATTCTGTTGGCTTGATGTGCGCCGGCGGGATCGGTTGCCTAGCAACCCTCGTCTCCCCAGACTGGAGTGTTACCTATTTGTAAGGAGAGGAATAGCAAGCTGTGTTGAAGAAATTCTTCCATCAAAAGACATTTTAAAAAATATAACACAGAACTAAATTTGCTAAATTCCTAATCCTACACTTACTAATATTATAAATGCGTTTAGAGATGGATGGATGGATGTTTGTAACCTAAACTTCTGAACGGATTTGATGAAATTCACCAGAGAATTGTCTGGAAGATAACATAGGCTACTCGTTTTTTTTTTAATTTCACGCAGACGGAGTCGCGGGCGAAAGCTAGTTAGTAGATAGAAACACTAAATTTAGTAGAAGTACGACACACTACCACTAGTAGTAAAATTACTACTAGTGGGACTGCATTTAGGGGAACATCTTAGTATTATGACGGCACAAGTACCAGGAACACATAAGGATACAGCATATTTCTAGCTTTATTTTTATTCCTTGCTATATTCGCTGGCTATGTTACGTTTATTAGCCATTTCGTTGGGCGGCGATATCGCCTCGCTTTGAAGTACTCGATACCGGCCCACAATAGTCTGGGGAGCGGTCGGGCGTTTGTAAGCGTTTTGAAGGCACAATAAAACGCCTAGAACAATGTCTGCGAGAGTATTGTTGTCTAAAACTGATAAATATAAGCAGATATTAAGATGTCTAGAAATATAGGCTATTTTAATCAATACATAACATGATTCTAGTTGCACACTAGGTATCGGAATGTGTGTTTTAATTTAAAAATAGACATTAAATTATGGATATATGAACTAAATGGGATTTTGTTATAATTATACGTTTATTTTTTTGAAAATATTTTGTTAATATTGTCTAATTCCTGACGATGTTTATGGTAATTTAAACAATTGTAATTTTAAAAGACATGTAACGCCATCTGTATTTATAAAAAAGCAACTTTAGTGTTAAGTTCTTTTAGTTAGTTTTTTTTAGTATATCTGTATTTCTGGTTATTAATTCATAAAACTGCACATTTATAAAATATTTATTTCCATCAATAACTCACAATTATCTTTATATTATGGCACATCGAAAAACATTGTTTATATAATTTTAAAAACCGTCTATCAAACTTACTACTGAGGTAATCGATTTTCTAATCACATTTATTACACACGATATTTACTACATTTATGTTACTTATCGATTGTAAATTCGATTGTAATTCGAAATAAAGGCGACAAAACTCATTGACAAATTACGTCAATTTGAACAAAACTTTTTTTTGGAATAAATATAGAGAAAACACAAGATACATTTTAAAGTGTCCAATATGTAAATACAATGAAATCTAGTGAGATTTAAAATTCACGAATTCCACAATCGACCGGTGACATCTATTATATGCTATCACACTAAAAATAAATTCGTAAGACAATACGATTTCTATTTTGTATACTTTGTTATTTTAAAACCAAAAACAGTCGAAACCGCTTACAATGACCAAAAGTATAGATTTTGAGTACACGCCACTTAACTACAAAAAAGGTCGAGAAGGTTCGTTTCAGTTAGTTAAATAGTTTGTCTAAACAAGATAGATTAGTTTGATAAATGACGCATATGAAGTATCGAATTCAATTTGTATGAAGGAAAATGCCATACTTAATAGACAGGTATCGTAGTGACGAAACAAACACGCAGCGAACAATAATGAACTATCGATATTCGGTTTAAATAATCGAACTCAACTAAAATTATTATTTTCTTATTAACTTATTTAGAGGACAATTCTAGTATTGATTATAGTGTAGAGAATTTTAATAATAATAATTTAATTTATAACTATCTACCGAATCCAATTTCTAAAAGAATGAAAATCGAAAATCGATAAGATTCATCGTTGATTTTACACAACCATCCCTACTAAATTTGACGATGTTACTATAATCCAGGGGTGACCAACCGTGTATTATGACTAAAGCAGATATCCTTAGGCGAAACGCAGGCTAACGACCAACAAAACGGATCTCGCATGCGGACTCTATAGTGTCAGAATCCTCCCACAATATACATTTAAAACAACAGAGTTATCGACTGTGAGTAAATATATAAATCTGTAGATTACTAAAGACATGTATAATTGTTTACGCTAAGCTATTTTATTTGAGACTAGCTGTTGCTTGCGACTTCGCCCGCGTGAAATTTAGAAATAACAAAAAATATAGCTTATATAACAAAAAAAATTACTCACTGATAAATTACCTTTCTAACGGTGAAAGAATTTTTAAAATCGACCCCGTAGTTTTTGAGTTATTTCAATCTATATTGTTATAATAAAGCGTAAACACACACTTTTTTGTTGCCTAAGATGTCAGCAATTACACCATATTTTTGAATAATTCTTTTATTTTTAAAAAAGCCCTACATTTACGTCACTCTTTAGGCTATATATTTTAACACCATTAAACTTAGGGGGTGATTATTTTGGATAAAAGCCCTAATGTGGGAAAGAGACCATAAGTTGCTGCCAACATTACAACAATATGCATTTGCAATTGATAATTTGACACATGTAATCAATTAAATAAAATTTTCATATCTTTATGCGGATGAAGTCGCATGGGAACAGCTAGTACATCAAAATACATTTTTTTCTATTTATAACATTAGTACGGATTAGGAGTAAATAGTAAAGTAGACCGTACAATTGTTTTTAAAAAATATACCTTCGGTTGACCACCCCTGGTTTAGACGGTTTCATTTTCTTTTGTATTCTAATGAAAATAATTTAAACTATAAAAGCATGTTTCATAAACATACTGAATCTAAAATACTAAAGATCGTTAAAATTCTTTAGACTTACAAATTAGGCAATCTACATATTTTAGGTAAAAATTTGGCAGTTACGTTACGATTTTGAATTATAAAAAATCATTGATTTCGTATTTTTCAAATAGAGGGCACTGCTTTCAATTAATCTTCTGACTTTTTAATAATGCAGTTCATCAAAAACTAGATTTCAATCAGTTCTTGTTAAATCAGAGTCATCTTATATGTTAAGTACTAAATATATCTAAACATCCATTTAAATATAAAAATCATGTCTTTATAAAATCAAACACAGCCAAAAAAATAAAGAGATCTATAAATACCACATGAAGCGATACACCTTTGACAAAACTATCGCACTTTGATTCATATAAGGAGGTACACGACTCGATTAGTTGTGCAACTAAACAGTTGGCTGCGAAACAATCGACAATCACAACAGTGGCGATTCAGTCAAAGGTATTTGCTCTAACTTACAAGTTATCCCGTTAAGTTACAAACAGAATACTTCACAACATCCAACTTAACTACATTATTCATCTTATTTGTACTGTTTGGTTTTGGGCAATGGGTAGAAAACATATTATATATGCACTTTAGAACCCTTTTCCACTAGTGCGTAACTGACAACGAGTCTAGTAAAGTGGTCTAATCTTTGACATCGAAGGGCCTGTCCCACCACTGCCTGATAGAGCTTAAAAATGACGTCACTGTCAGATAAGGGAACAAAATCCGATATTTCCGTCACATGTTATACTTGGATTGTTAAACAATTTACAATTTGGGAGAACAGGGACTTAGTCTTCGGGTTCCGATCCCAAATATTCCGCTTTAATGTTCATCTCATCTGGAGAATCATTGCGCATGCCCAATGCGCGGGACGCGAACGTACTCTGTGACGCCATGCTTGCCAGTATTCCATTGGACAAAGCTTGTACTGACAGCGTTTCTTGAGACGGACCCGCGTAACTATACTGTTGGTATACAGCTTGTATTCTAGCAGCATTTACTAATGTCTGGATTTTTAACTGAGTATCCAAAGCTAAACTGAGAGGTAGTTTCCTTAATTGGCTCGCAATCAGTTTTCCGAACATCTCGAATTCGTTCTCATTCACATCTGAATGTTGACTCAAATCTTGAGGACCGTCTGACTCTGAACGATCTTCTGAATTACGTTTCTTCTGCTTTGTTAGGGGGTACATTGTAGCTAGTGAGGTAGTGAGTGGCGTAGCTATCCCTACTGGGGGATTTAAAAACGTTGTAGATGTGGGTAGGATACCAAATGACGATTGGTTGATAGAAAATGGTGTATTAGGACGTGGAGAGGGCGTGTTCAACACGTACGGTGTCGACGATCTTGTTGAACTGCGACGTTTTCGCGGGCTTTTCTTCTCAGGCGATTTTCGTTCGCTTAAATCTTGTACCACGTCGCTGTCGTCACTCGCTGGTATCTCAACTAACGTGTTATCCATCTATACAGAAAGATATAAATTTAATTCATTTTGGTATTGTTTTGTTTGGTTTTACGTAAACAAAGACTTACGGAGATAGGAGTTACTATCGCCCGCAGGAACCTGTCGGCGTGCTCGAACCACGTGACACTGGGCCGGTACGCATGCGCGCCAGCCTTGCGCGCCGCGCGAATCTTCTTCAGTTCCACGCTGTACGACGACCGAATATTCTTTATTTTATTCTTGAGCTCCTTCACAGTCACGTCGACCAAATTGAGCGCTTTAATTATTTCCAAATAACCCTGTTCGCGTATCTTTTTGTTTTTATAATGCTCCGCCACCGGGTTCCAGAGGTACTCTCGTTTCTCATACTCTATTATCATTTGTATGGTGAGATCCTCGCTCCATTTAGGATTCGCCAGGATCGCGACCATTTTATCATTTAACGATGCATTTGGCACTTTTCGCTTGTTTTGTTTCTGGTTTAAATTCGCGTGTTTACGATGTTTGGTACTAGGAGCGCAGAAGGGTGCGGGCGTGTCGCATGCGCGCAGCATACTAAAAGCACGTCGATGCGGGTCGGGCAGCGGTGGGCGCGGGGAAAGCGCGGGGCAGGCGGGGCGCGGCTATTTCGGGAGCGGCAACACGCAGCCG